GTGGCGGACCGGTCCGCTCGGGTATTCATAAAAATTATGCTCCCAGACACGCTCAATGGAGTGCCGTCGCATTGCGCCTTTACATTTACAAAGGTCTTTTATGGTGTACGGATCACGTAAGTTATTCTTTACGAATTTCGAGACGTGATGAAACAGAGTGCACCATACGATTGTTGCTCGACATTAGTGACAGACTTTCGTTTGCGTGTTGCAATATACATAACCCGAGTCGATGGGCCATTATTCAATTTCACAGATAGACGATATCCATTATTTCCGAACTAATTTGATTGCGGACAGGTGTTTATTGCACAAGTATACGAAAAGAGATTCGCGTGGGCGGCACGTGACGTGCAGAACTAGGCTGACTGCCCGCCAGCCGCCATGCGCCACTGCCAGGCTACTTCTCAGATTGCACAACTAATGAATCTAATCAATAAAGCCGTAGGTAAGTACATGCTGAGAGCATTGTTCTTAAAGAATGAAAACTGTGCCGAATGTTTGTTGCTATTTCACGTTATTGGAAACTAGTTCAAGATTATAATAATTAGCAAAAGGTGCGGCTGTTTATTCTCAGCACACAACAGCTTCTCGACAGCTTGTGTACAAACAATAGTTGTTTGAGCCAGTGAGGCGCGGGGCAGATCACAAATGAAAGATAAGTGTTAAGGATTTAGTTTCATATAATTTTCTTTAACAAATGATCAATAGAAAATTGTATAATTAACAAGTAGCGTCTTAACAGATACTTCGAAATTATTAGTGTTGTAGGTAATATTTTACAAATACTTTGGAATGTTCATATAAACATCTCATATGAATCAATGTACATGGGACTCCACGTTTCACTCCACCGGTACTGTTACCGCACCACGCACCAGCTCTACGGAGGCGGTACAATTTATTAGTTTTTGTGGGGCCGAGCGTGGCGGCTGGACGAAACACAACATACGTCAAACACATGAAACTGCCATAGAAATGGTACGCGGGTCTAGGGTAAAACAAGCGCCCAGCCGCCGCGCTCCGCCGCAGCTCTGTGATCTCACAGCCTATTAACAAATTTGCTATTTTTTTTTGTACCCTTGCAGTGCCTGCCCTCGGACGACAAAACAGTTAACAAGACAGAGAGCAACATACAGACTTATAGGTGCGCTGTACCTTTAATTGTCACTACAAATTGTGTAGTTTGAATACATCAACGTAGCGACTATGTTGAGAACATAGTTAAGGAAACATTAATTCTAGAGGCGTGAATGATGAATAACATAATTATTGAATACGAATACGAACAATCAAAAGTACAGCAGCACACGCGCGACGGCCGGCACTGGCCAGGAAACTACGTTTTTACACCATCCAATGTTGTTTCAATTTTTACAAAAACTAGACATAATGGAGATTCATAATGAGATTACAATCGAATATACATTACGCGAGGCCATGCTTAGCAGGGTGAAATGAAAATACAACCGTTAACCGCTTAGTTAGGCGCCTTGGATGCACTGATCATCGAGATTAACTAAATAAAGCAGTCAATAAATAAACGATCATAAATATCTAATAAATACCTACACGGGCTATATTTACAAAAAAAGCCTTCCTCATCGACGGCACATACTCAGCCTTTAAACAAATATAATACAGCACTATCCCAGCGGGATAACAGGTATAAATTAAAAAATAAAGCTGCCGGCTTAAGACTCGTATTACAAAATAATACTGACACCAGTAAAATACTCTATCCGCGAGATGGAATGTGCGGGCCCTCGGCCCGGAACGGCAATAGGAACCAACTGCGCTACTCGCTGCCTCGCACAAGCCTACAATAAATTCATCACAAATTCTATTTGTATAGAATGGAATATTAATAAATACAATTAACATTGATTGACAATTATCTAAGTATAGCGTCGTAGCGTGCGAGGGCGCCAGCGGAGCCCTACACACGTCACTGGGACTGTCCGCTATCTCAACAAACAATAACATGTGGCATGTGCAGCAGCACACGCCTCTCTCTGCACCAAACAGACCCATTCCTGTATATACTGTTTTGATTATCAAAAGAGTCAGACTAGGAATTGATCCGTTTGGTGCAGAGCTGCATCTCAACCTTTTGTATCAGCAGATACAGTGCAAACAACAATATAACATATAACAGCTCTACTTGAAGCGAGTAGCATTAGGTACATGGTCGTTGTTCGATCTCACACATCCGATACACACTGAACGTGAACAGAATAATACAAATTACAATCCACAAAACGAACACCGGGGTAAGGAGACTGAAATTTCCAACTGTATGAAATGTGGAACCCACTGCGGAACAAATCCGAGAGGTATATACAAAAGAAATTACTTCCGAATAAATTATAAACTTCGTAAAATAATTATCACATAAATTTCTCCTTATATCTTCCGTTCTCTCCACATAACTTAACACATAATCTATCTATAATATGTACACGACATACAATATAAACAAGGGACGCATTGTCCAGCGATTGTCCACAAATGAAGAGCTAGTGGGGCAGGTCTGGCGGGGCTGGCGGCGCCTTGCACAGCGCGACGATGCCGCGCGGCGCCGCCACGGCCACCAGCTGCACCTGGCCGCGCTCCTCCGAGAAGGGCGGCGTCTTGCCGCGCCGGTGCAGCCGCACCCACGCGCCGAAGCAGACTAGAATGGCGAGGAACACAGCAACGGTCGCGCCACCCGCGATCGACGCTGTCTCCATCATCAGCTGCCGACTCGTCAGCACGTACGAGTCGTCCAGGTCCTTGAACTCGCAGCGCTGGCCCACGAACCCGCTCCGGCATTCGCAGTTATAGATCGGGCTGTCCGATATGACCACGGTGAAGCACACGCCACCGTTGAGGCAGTAGTACTCCGAGTAGTCGGGCTCGCACTTGAAGAGGGGGAAGGTGACGTTCATCCGCGGCTGCGGCTGGGGCTGCGGGTGCGGGCGCTGCGGACGCGCGGGCCTGGCCGGCCGCTTGGAGATGGAGCTCGAGCACGCGCCCGCCAGCGCCCAGGCGGCCGACACCACCGCCCACCAAACTACCAACGATTGCATTTTCCGCACGATCCGGAGGGTCGGCGCTCGCGGTACGTGCACGATTTTGACATTGGACGGTGACTTATGAGAAATCCGAGAGGCGATGACATGACCGCATTCGAATTTCGAACTGGAACCCTTCGCTCGCATCCGCGTCGGCGGTCCGCCCAGACATGTTTCCTGTGTTAACTTTTTTTTACGTCGACGATCACTCGCTCATGACGGAGGCGCGGTTTCTACGGGCGCCCGAGATATCGCATCGATCCCTCGACGGGCATGTCGAAAGTGAAACACTGAACACTGTTCAAAACTGATAGTCGTGGTTCACGATTATTCACGGAGCACATACACACAATGTCCCGTTCGAAAAGATATACACAAAATGGTGCTGAGAGAATCGCAAGCACACTACTACGCTCGGCGAGTTGTCTATGCGCGACTGACGGAGGGCGTCCACTGCATCCGCCATCTGCCGACGAGAATGAAATGCGGGGAACTCGACGGCGCGCCGCTGTGTGCGCGCCCGTGTGCGTGCACGGGGAAATTACACTCGTATGCGTCACGCGTCTACCTGTGTGCGTGAGTAAACCTTTTTTTTTCTTTGTATGGGATTATGAACAAGGTATTTCTTTTTCTCAGCGATTCCGATCCTCAAGGAAGCATTATTTGTGGATCCTTGAATAAATTATGTATTATTTTATCAAGTTTAAATATTTTGTCGAAATTTTTATTTCTGAACTAAAAATTTAACTTTATGGGGGTATATTTACAAGTTTTATAAATAGAAGTAAACTTCTTTACCTATGTAACATGCCCATATGTGATGCAAGTTACCAGTTGTCCACTATAATTAACTGGTTGAGTAGACGCCAGAATGTACCTAATTGTATTTACATTTCTAACAAAATTTAAAGGAATATAATAACTTTAATTTGGTACACGTGTGCCAAACGTGATAATGTGCTTAATAATGTGCTTAATAAGATATCTTCGTATACGCAAATAAGAAAGGGAAAGCTTACTTATATAGAAGTTTAAATCCAACCAGAGTTATTATTTGAGCTCGAGCAATTATAATTTAATGGCTAATAAATCTTCTGCTATAATACTTGCCTCAAGTAACTACTGTAGACAGTAAGTTCGTACAAACATTACAAAATAGTGGGAGTGCTAAAGCATGCCTCAAAAAGAAACAGGCTAACTAGTACTTACACCAAATATTTGTAACAGAAATACGTGCAAACATTCACGTTGACTCGAAACTTACAAGTTTCCTAACTGAGCAAACCTACAAAAAATATCCGAGGGAATGTAAGTGGACACATTCATTGATAGTTTAACACTGATCAATGAAAGGCATATTTTGAATCGAAGATGTTGTCGTATAATTACAATACATTATTTTAGTTTCCTCAAACGTTTAAACTTCATGTTTATGTTAACAATAAATAAAGTATCAACCAACCAATTAAATATGAAAACAGAAAAAAAATTGGTATAAAGAAAAGTAGAACATAATTACTTGATTCCTCTCATACTTTGTACTATCGCAAATCGCATTTTCGCTTACGTTGTACCTAACTTAAACTAAACCTATGACAATAACTGACTGTACTCTGTCTTAATTAATATTTTGCGCTGTAAACAAACATTTTTCTTATCGCTAAATAGCTTGCGAAGTAACTAATTACACTTATCCACTATAAACGGCCAAAAAAATATAAAAGAATTTGACTGTTCAATGGAAATGAACCTTAGCTTTTGGAACGCTTCAGCAAAGTTTACTATATTATTTCTACTATGTTATGTACTATTTATCGTTTTAATTTTATTTAACTAGTGTGTTAATTTTAAATTAACTTTTATTTATCAACCAACTTATTTTTTCATTTCAACATGTTGATAAATCATTGAACAACACTACATAAGTGAAATGGAACGTAAGTAGGGATGTGCTTTTTGACTGCTGTCATTTGAATGAACGAAGGAAATGAACCCATAGATGATTACACATCAATGAATGAACCACATGAATCAATCGGATAGTTTCTAAAAATACATGATTTCAAATCATAAAAAATATTGATAATAATAAACAAAAATCCAAAAATTAAACCGATGAACAGCAGATGACAATGACAGTTCCACAGTAAACTGTTGTCAAATAATCACTGCTGCTGCTGCTGCTCATTTATTTAGTTGTTATCGTCTATTGTGGTATTTTTGTGAAAAAGTGCTAGAAACCTGTGCTGATGTGCTTATAACATAACGTTAAAGTGAAAAGACAAAATGTCAGAATCCTCGAAATCAAAATCTTTAAATTTAAATCCGTCGCCCACTTTACAATGCAAAGATCTCCACGAATATCTGAAAAGTCGGTCTGCTCAGTTTTTAGAGACTTTATATAATTATCCTACGATATGTCTTGCAGTTTACCGGTAAGTTTATTGTTTATAAAACATTTCTTCAAACGATCAAATTGATTAGTTTATACATGTTGAGGTTAGATTGTTATTATATCCAAGGTATGTAGAACTCTGACAATTACAGAATCCTAGTGGAGTAATTATATCACATAGGATACCTACAGTCCCACTGAAGTTCCAATGGGAGTATTAGTAAAAAAATATTTGCAAAAAAGGGCTTTCTTACTTAAAATTCAATTGTTTAACATTCAGATCATATGGTTTAATTGACGACTTATTGTATAACTTTCTTTAGTAATATTTTTGTGTAAGTGTACATGATACTTATAAAAATAATCCAACAATATGTACTGTTCTGTTTTAGAGAGTTACCGGAGCTAGCGCGGCACTTTGTAATCAGGCTGCTGTTTGTAGAGCAACCGGTACCACAGGCGGTCGTCACGTCGTGGGTGTCACAGACATTCGCCAAGCAAGTATCTAGCATATACTTTAGCATAGTCTACTATTACTATGCATGATAGAAACCCTACTTATGTTTTACTTCAATTCATTCTGAAAAGAATATACATTTTAAGCGCATAATGTTTAAATAATATAAGGTTTATGTCTAATTGATGCCATTACCTATATATTATGAAAACACTAATATCTCCTGTGTGCTAGTCTAGTCAGACAGACTGGCCACCATGATTGAATTCAATCGGGGGATTTATATTATCAAAACATTATACACTTAAACTGTCAAACACCAAGCGGTCACCGGTGACTGCAACCTATTGTTCTATAATTGTGTCTACAAAACCGGTACTCGATGAGTTAAACTGACCAAGTACCTATTGAAACTTACAAACAGTACAGTATATTCAATAAATGAATTGTTTTGTTTCATAATGTGAATTAACATCATACTTGTTTGCACCATTACAGAGAGCAAGCCAAAGCTTGTGAGGCGTTATCAGAGCTGTCAGTATGGCAGGAGGCTCCTATACCCGGAGGCATGCCTGGCTGGATGCTGGCACAGTCCTTCAAGAAAAACCTCAAAGTAGCTTTGCTTGGAGGGTAAGATTAAAACTCAAATTACGGCATGTTTTTTTATGGCACAAACCGGTAAACAAGCATACAGATCACCTGATAGTAAGCAATCGGCGTCGCCCATGGACACCTGGAACACCATTCAGGGATTGGGGAGATTGGGGAAGGGGAGGGTAATTGGGCCTCCGGTAACCTCACTCACACGACGAAACACAACGCAAGTGTTGCTTCACGTCGGTTTTCTGCTCGGCCGTGGTATCACTCCGCCGAGCCGGCCCATTCGTGCCGAAGCATGGCTCTCCCACACTTGTAAAACAAAGTAAAAAAATTTACCCTTTATTGAATTGTATTTTGTTCATTTTATGAAACATTACTATTACAGTTACTTACTATTACAGCTTCATAAATCATCTTCACTAACAAATGGCAAAAAATTTTCCATGTTCTCAACAAATTTATCTGTTTGTTCATTTCAGTGGTCGTGCTTGGAGCATGTCTTCTTCCTTGGAGCCGGATGGTAAGGCCCGTGACGTGGCTTTCTTGGATGCGTATGCACTGGAGCGCTGGGAGTGTGTATTGCACTACATGGTGGGGAGCGCTCAGACCGAGGGGATCAGTGCTGATGCTGTTAGGATACTGCTGCATGCTGGACTCATGACCAGGTCTGTACAATGATAGTAGATGATAGATAGGTTTCCCAGTTGTCATATAAACATTTATAACTTGTTAGTCAGGTAAAACGAATCTAACAATCAATGTGGTATCTCACCCTTACTGAGTTTTTTAAGGCAATGAATTGAGAAAATACTAGAAGAATGGCAAGGCCCCATCGCAGGCCGCATCATTGCTTACCATCAGGCGTGAAAATGGCCAAATGCCAGCCATTACTATAAAAAAAACATACAATTGAAATTGTTAATTCTCTATGTGTCTATGTGTACAGAGATGCGGAGGACGGGTCGGCTGTTATTACTCGCGCTGGGTTCCAGTTTCTACTATTAAGTACTGCTAAACAAGTAAGTTCAACATTCAGTTAATTAATAAATCAATTAATACTGCATTTACAATAGTCAATGTAAACCTTTATCTCTCTGTTTTGGAAATATCGTCAAAGTCAAAGCATCTATTTCAATTCCGTAATTTGGTACCTACTTTTGAAACGTCAACAAATACATAATAGTCTGTCAGTCAGTCCGTCAGTGAAGCTAGGTGCTCATTCCAAAATGAATTATTATTGATAATACAGGACTTGGGATTGCCCAGAGTTTAGAAATAAGCTCATCCCTCATAAAAGTTGATTGTTTGTTATTAATATGAAGTGCACCTTTTGATGTTTGTCACAGATGTGTGTTGCCTCGACAGGTGTGGCTGTTCCTACAACATTACTTGCACACGGCGGAGAAACGGAGCCTGAGTGCAGCGGAGTGCCTCGCCTTCTTATACCAACTTAGTTTTAGCACACTTGGCAAGGTAAATAATACATTAATTATTCTACTTAAAATGTTTTTTTTTAATAGTGTTTAGGCAATTATAATATGTACTGTGCAATAATTAATCGTCATCATCATCAGCTGTTAGACATCGCTACACACTGTAAAGGTTTCTCCATTAGACGTCCATGGCATATTTAGTATTATTAGGTTCAGTATATTAGTTATTTATAATTAGTGTATATTTCCAGGACTACAGCACAGAAGGAATGAGTAACAACATGCTGGTATTCTTGCAGCATTTGAGAGAGTTTGGACTTGTTTATCAAAGAAAGGTTAGTCTACAAACAAAATTATTTATAATTATATTATTATATCACACCATTAACACTTGATTTTAATCATGCTAATTCCAGTAACCAATTATTCACTCACCTCCCAATCTTTAAATATAAAATTATTATTGTTCACAGCGCAAAGCAGGTCGTTTCTACCCGACTCGTCTCGCTCTGAACATAGCGCAGGTCCGCGGAGGGGGGGCGGCGCCGCTGGCTGCGCCGGCGCAGGCGCGCGGGTACATCGTGGTGGAGACCAACTACAGAGTCTACGCCTACACACAGACCAACCTACAGGTGGCACTGCTCGGCCTGTTCACGGAGCTCATGTACAGGTCACTATGTTAATACGTGTTATATAAATATGAAAAAAAAAGCCAAGAATGCTTGGAAAGTAGTTATTTATAAGGTTTACAATTCCTCTCCTCTCCCCCCACCACAATTCAAATCAAAAAAGGTGTCCCATTTGGTATCAATGATCCGTCTGTTTGTTAGCCGCCCTATCCCATAAAATATTAACGTTTTGCAATGAACAGACTTCTTAGTCCATATTTTATATTATAATTAAACGAATTGTACATTGGTCAGCCAAGTATATCCTAGACCGTAAGACACCTATCAAAACTAACAGCCATTATAATTTTATGTTCCAGGTTCCCTAACTTAGTAGTAGGAGTACTGACTCGCGAGTCAGTCCGGCAGGCGCTGCGCGGCGGTATCACTGCCGAGCAGATCATCCACTACCTCGAGCAACACTCACATCCACAGGCAAGTTGTCATCGCCATCCGACAGAACTATGTCCACTGTTCAACAATAACCTCATCTTAATGACAGAAGAGAAACCATGCTCTGATTTTGACATGTGGTGAGGGGCTCTGCAACCCAAAATGTGACTTGGGTCTCCGATTTCTGTTCTTGTAGTACTGTAAAGTACTTTTTTATTGCAATTCGCTCTTCAAGAATAAATTGCGCTTTAGTCAATATTAATAGAAAAAGCAATTTGCTTGTTGAAATGATGTTCCTATGATGAAGAATGTCTATAGTTCCTTTTTTTTTAATCAGTTTCATATTTCTATCTATTTACCCTAGTACAATAAATTTATAAGACACTAGCGACCCGCCCCGGCTTCGCACGGGTGCAATATGCATGTATTATACATACAAACCTTCCTTAAGAATCACTCTATCTATTAAAAAAAACCGCATCAAAATCCGTTGCGTAGTTTTAAAGATCTAAGCATACATACGGACATACAGCGAAAGCGACTTTGTTTTATACTATGTATTGAAGTATGTTTGCATGTAGATGTTGAAGTCGGAGACAGGCGGTATCAGGACGAGCTCGATGCTCCCCCCCACGGTGGTGGACCAGATCAAGCTGTGGGAGACTGAGAGGAACAGGTTCACGTACACCGAGGGAGTCGTCTACAATCAGTTCCTGTCACAGGTACCAGGCATTACTTTACTTTTCTATATGCAATGTTGTTATAATAATTATAAATATTTATTTAATTTGTAGTTGTATACTCTATTACAATGTTACATTTAATGCTTTCTTGAGACATAAAAGATGTGATGTTATGTTCCATTGACAAAATTTAGTAAATATTCAGGGTAGCCATTGTGCCTAGAGCTCAGAGGCCTTAAGTAAGAGAGGTACTAAGGCCTCAGGACGCAACTAGTGAAAAGTGGGCGTTACTTTGTTTAATGTGCACCTCTGCCAATCCTTTCGGCAATTAAAAGACGTGATGTATTTATGTTCTTCAATAAATTTTCAACTTAATTATAGTTTAAAATAAAATGTTAAAGTTAACATTAAATCCTGGCATGGCATTAACAAACAATATATCGTGTTACAGGCAGATTTCGTGGTACTCCGCGACTACGCGAAGCAGCAAGGAGTGTTGACCTGGCAGAACGAACGCTCGCGAACGATGGTCGTCACACGACACGGACACGATGATGTCAAGAAGTTCTGGAAGCGATACTCTAAGAGCTCTTAGATAATGAATCATAGATATATTGTGCTTAGAAATCGTGAAACAAATGAATGAAGTCACCCGACTTGTAAAGACTGCTAAAAGCTTAACGTGGACTTGTGATGATTTGTCTACAACATACAACAACACAACAAGGATTCAATAGGGATAGAATGTTGTGAGTTGGCACCTGGGTGAAGCCGGGACGGATTAATAGAAAATAAACATCTATAACATTTTGTAAATAAAACAAATTGACAATAATTAATGAATAAAGCGTTGAAATGAGTACCTCCTACAAGTGTGTGTAAAAATTAAGTATCTACACGGGTAAACAAGGATGTTGGAATACGAGTTTAGAAGGATATATATAGTAATGTTTTCATTTCTTCATTGATCGGGTTCTCGCAGCCTACATATTGTATTACATTACACTAATAACCTCCGTACCTCAGCCTTACACAGAGATGGCGAACGTTTAAGCATCGACGCACCATTATGCCATCCAATTCTCTTGTCCTTTGTTGGATTATAAATAGATCTTGCAACAAAATGCGTTCTAAACTGGAGTTATATAATTATGTTTCATGAAGTATTTATTTGCGTCTGAAATAAATTGCTGGCAGACATTAGGCAAATTTTGTGATTAGTGATATGCTCAAATATTGTGATGCTTGCCAAATAATTCGCCATCCCTGGCCTTAACCTTCGGAGAATTAACGCCATTATACTATGTTTATATTTTAATTGAAAATGTGATCTAGTTAATGTTGTAGTGAATAAATTATGGCGTGTTAATGATGCTGAGATTTATAATGTATGTGTGTTTGTGTTGAATAGGTCTCGTTGTTTGCGTGAATACTAAATAGTTCTGATATTAGCGCTGTGCGTTAGTACCTATGTTGTATTGTACCTAAATCTGTAAATAAACTTTTATACATTGAAACTTTATTTTTACTACCTACTTCTGCTTTCACCCACTCTGCTCGGCGCATATTGATCATAGCGTGATGTTATATAGCTTATAACCTTCCTAAATAAATAGACTATCCAATATCTTTTCAAATAGGAGTAGTATCTCTTCAGATTAGCGCGTTCAAACAAACTCTTGAGCTTTATATAATAGTAGTAAGATTTAACAAAACATCTATCTTGAAAGGTTTTAAACATAATATTATAACGCTCCTAAATCTAGTTATTACACAAAGTAATGCAGTATGTCCTATGGGTTTGCGGAACCATGATGAGACATCAGTATAAAAAATCAAATACAAGTTTTTACTTAACATACAAAGTTTATTCCACGAACAAACATTCACAGCATAATACTTGTCTTATTATCAACAATTTCACATTACATTCGTCTATTGTAAGTTGTAGACACTTGAGCCGGTAAAAGGGACACATAAATAACCATAAAATATTCCATTCAAACATGTATTTTCAGTACAAAATTATCAATTTCAACTCGTCAATGTCCATTCATATTAATTGTCCTGTATCACCAACACTGCAATTTATATCTTTTATGTATTTACAGAAGGTATAAAGTCCAGTGTACTGTAGCAGTGCAGGGTCCGTGTAGGAGTGCGCGGTCACGAGGTCGGCGCGGCGGGCGGCGGCTTCACCGGCGCCAGCGCCGCGTACAGCTTGCTCACCGCGCTCTGTACTGTACGCTCCAGGGTGGGGTCCGACGGACATTTCACCTCCTGCAACATATTTTCATTATAAATCAATGGCAACTTTAAAGGATGCATAACAACAACTGCCAAAGTAGGAGGTCTAGAGGTATAAACACAGCACACATACATCACAAGCAGCAAATATTTAGAAGTACTGACCATAGTGAGTAGGTCTATGTCGGCCCTCTTGTCGTCGACGCTGACGTACAGCTTGTCTCCCTTGAACATCTTCGGTACGGCGTCGTCTCCAAACATTTCTTGCAACATCTCTATCACGCACTCCTGATGAAACAAAATTATTTTTATTAAAATCAATATACTAGAATGGAACAATCCTGGATCTTATTCCTCTTTATTCTTATTTGCTATCAATCATAAGTTTTGGTATCTTATAGTTGCACATTATAAAACGACTGCAATTGGACCATCAAATAAAAACCGTTACTTACATACAGTCTAACGCTCGAATACTGAAAGTTTACTCAACTTTAAACTCAAAGTCAAATCATTTATTTCAATTGAACCATAATTTGGTACTTTTGAAACGTTAACAAATACAAAATAAACAATAGTCTGTCAGTCAGTCCGTCAATGAAGCTAGGTGAAGCTAGGTGCTCATTCCAAAATGTAGATACGAATGGGATTAAGTCGCGTATACTAAAGTGTAGTTCTGTCACTACATATTCTTTGTAACGGTGACAGAGATGGCACAATATTTAAGTACAACTTTAAATTGAGTAGCCTCTCAGTATGCGGGCGTTACATAATATATAAGATAGAGTTTTGACACGTTTTGTATGGACTTTATGTTGCATATGTCATGTATATGTATGTATAGGTTATCGACACTGGTAATTGGGGACATTATCCTTGAATATGCCTAGACATGATGGTCTATTACAGTGGTACTGACCTTGAAGTGCATGCGGTCCAGTTTGGGCGCGAGCGGTAGATGCCTGGGCGCGGCCAGCGCGGACGCCGACAGTATGGCCGCCACCAGCGCGTCCGCGAACATGTCCGACACGGGCTGCGCCACCCACTGAGCAACGACAATCACTTACACAATTACTATTACACCATTACTTATAACATTACACTGTAATAACGGTGATAAACTGAATAAATATATACATAATGATAAAAAACAACGGCGCTATTATTTCAACCTTAATGGACAATTAAATTAAATAACCGGTAAGCTTTATGCCCTCTATTTTCCTTCATTTTATATTTACTCCAGGTTATATTACCCGACGCGGAACAAAAACAAATTCATCAAAGAGTTACAAATCTAACTAAAACGAATTTTCTTCAATAAAATTATTTCAACAAAAGCAATACTGAATTCAAAATTAAGAACAAAATTATCCCTTAATAATGTAGAAAGTGATATTACCTCGAGAGTGATCATGTTATTCTCCAGCGTGAGGTCTACGCACGAGTAGACCCGCCACCTGGTCTCGGAGAGGAAGTCGATGGCGCCCGCCAGCTGCATGACGACGTGGCGCAGCAAGCCCAGCGACCCGCTGTAGTGGATCGACTGGCGCTGCGTCACCTCCGACTGGGTCAACTCCGTGTACTCTGTACATACAGATAACTTTGTTACGTACACAAAATATGTTTAAAACACTTTTTAATTATTATTATGTATGTCTTTACCATTCACGGGACCACAGGGTCCCGGTCATTTGGGAGGCGTACGAGGGGCCGAAGCCAACTGCGCAGAGGCCCTTTAGACAACTTTAATCTAAATAAAATGAAAACACAAACCGGCGACTATCCCTGTATGCACTATGGAAATGCACCCAAGAACAGTCCCCGGTTAGTGTAGAACTATTGTAGGTAATGGAAAAAAAAAAGGGTAGGGCTATGTATGGGTTGCTGTGGACTGGAAAATTGGGAACTATGGATGACTATGGCACCTGCCGAAACAATGTAATTATTACACATTAAAATGGCAGGCGGAGACTCGCCAACTCACCGACCAGGCCCCGGGAATGGAGGCTAGATATAGCAACAGAGGGGCAACGAGAATGTGAGTGGCTGAAGGGTTAAGAAACTACCACCGCTTTCTACTCAGATCATCTGCTCCAGCCGAAGCTTCCTGCATCCCTGGCCCACTCGCGACTTACGAATAGTTTCTTACCCTCCGAGTAGGATCACTGCTCTCGCGACTCCACTCTGGACGGCCAATAAAGGCAAGCCAGAGGTGGGAGACCTGTTCCTTGTCATAGTTCACTCCAGCCAGCCAATTAAGGCAAGCTGGAGAAGAAGGAACGGTGACTTCTCCCTGGAGCACTCGGGATGATGGTAGCCCGCGGGATCGCTAATGCCCGTCACCTCGCCTCAAGGTGCCCTGCGGGCTTATTATTATTATTATTATTGAATTGAGGTTATTGAGATCAGTCGAGTGCCGGGTCGCGGTTAGATTTCCAAAAAGTATTACAGCCCTGACTTGGAACAGTGATTGAAACGGAGTAGTTTTTTTGTCAATAGCAATCTGACACCCCTCCTGCTTCACCCACAGTGATAGAGTTATTTAATGATTGAAGTTAGTACCTCCAAGTTTTTTGAAAATATATCATAAATGAGATTGTAATTTCTTTTACAATGGACAACTCACTGTTGAGGTCTGAGGGTGCGAGTATGTGGTAGTTGAAGTTTCTCTTCACCAGGATCCCCTGTAGCTGCGTGCCTGGCTCCGGCGTGTCCATCGCAAGGGAACCCATCACCTGGAAGTAATAATCAAGTATTATGAAGTGTGAGTAAGATACAAAGAGACACTATGTGAATAAAGTAGTGTATATAGAAATCGAAATAAGGTTGAAGAACCTAAAGATGCTCTAGTTGATAGTGTTATTATTAGAGGTCCATTGCTAATAGGTCAGCAGTGCCTGCGGTAGGGTTATTTCCAAGGTTTGTGGGAAGTGTATGCAGATGACTGGGTGTACCTTGGCGGTCTTGTCCCCGCGGAAGGTGAGCTGCAGTAGCTGCGTGTTGCGCGGCGTGTGTATGTGGAGGCGGCCGCGGTGCTCGCGCTGCAGGGCCGCCTTCAGGCGAGACATCTCGTTCTGCTCGCCGTGCACCAGCACCTGCACGGGACGCGACATTATGCACAGGTACACGCCGGTTGAGGCCGGTATGGAGCTAGACAAAGGTCTTAGTGTTCTCCGTCTCATTTGAATCCAGCAACGCGGTATAGTCTAATGCTGGGCTTTGAATCTTCTCTACAAAATAAGAATTGTCATAACACACACTTGGCTGGCAGATTAGAGATCACAGTGAAAGGTACAAGTTTATCAGAGAAAGAAAGAAATATAATATAATAAATGCAAGCTACATCGAAAAAGATTGTAACATGAGCTGCCACCACGGTCGGAAGATATTTAAAAAAATACATTTGAAGATACAAATTATTTCAAATTTAATTATTATTATGTATGATTACAGTCTCAAAAAGTACAATTAAAAGTAATATTGGATACTAATAACATACGACATGCGGCGGCTTCAGTATATTGATGAACTCAGATGTCTGTTGGTAGTCAGTGTGCGCGGAGAATGAGATGTAGTCCACCGACATCTTCAGCGGCAGCTTCTGGCCAGACATGGATGTGATCTCCTCCGGCTCGGACAGGATCGTCTTAGCCAACGTGCCTTCCACACAGTAACCTAGAAATGACATGAGAAACACGTAAAGTCAATAAGGGGGTATCGCCCTCTGGAGATTATAAAATATAATCCGTCTTTCGCCAAAATTATTGAGAAGGTAGAATTACGATCGAAAATTGTTTACCAGCAATGATGACTCCGTTTTTGGGATCTGTGCACCAAGACTCAAAGAGCTCGCGCGAGAGGCCGCTCTGCATCATACCGGGCGACGCCATGATTACACAGGGGCCTATGTCCTCGAAGTGATCTATGCCCTGGAATACACACATTATACGGTGTTCAATCTTGACCTTTTAAGTAATAGTACTGTAAACGACAGGATATTGTTATCCTCCAAAAGAATATGTAGATTTTCATAATCATAATCTAACTCTGATTGCAATTGAATCGGGGACCATTCCAGACCATATGATGTTATTGAGAATTTCAAAATTGAAAGCCTCAATATAACCCTATCTGGCCTTAAAAAACTTAATAATTGTTTTTATTTTTATCTAATGTAGTAGGAATACTGTCTGGAATTTCATAAAACAGAAATAGCAAACAATTTATTAATGTTAGCATGCCTAGTCTTTAAAAATGTACAATTACTTAATAAACAAGATAGAATTCTAAATTAATCATTATACCTTATCTAGAATTATTGATTAATATCAAGACACCTGTGTTACATAGTAACAATGTATACAATAATTATGAGACTTATTTTCTTTGTTATTAGGGTTCAAATTGCATTTGACAAATATGTTTGATAAACCTTTAAATGTAGCTACCGAATATTCAATGATATGGTAGTTGACGAGTCAAGGTCGAATCATTTATACAACTCTAGGATGAAATCATGTTACGCTCTTTTGTACAAGGAGTATTCAGAACAGTTTAGATTGAATTTCTTTTGGATTTGAAAAAATGTGTTTTATATCATTTTAAAATAATCATCCCAATATAGAACCTCCCCCTATTTATGTACTAGGTAAAAATTTATCTTTATCAGACTGATTCCGTCCACATACATACATATATGAGGGTATGGCTATATCTTCAGAGAGAAGTTGTTCATCTAAAATTACAGATATTTATTTTTAGTGTAAAATCAATGTTAAAACATTGTTATGTATGTTTTACATATTAGGCTAATAATCTAGACTTAAGATAGTAATTGGCAACAAAGTACAGAGTAGTAATTACAATATTAATAAGATTACAGTATTAAAAGATAAGTTGTATCTAGCAGTGTACAGGTGTATCGAAACGAAATATTTTTTATCTGTAGTGTTGTGACGCGCGGCCGAGCGAGCGGCCGGCGGATAGAATATATTTATTAAAAGTGGGAATATAGTGAAATTAGTGAATAATCAGTAAGTAAACATGTTATATTACACAATTAAAGTATAAAAACAAAGGAGATAGCAAAATGTACGTGATGGTTTATATTACAATCGTAAAGTAAATGAAAACATTAAATAGATACATTGAGATTAATCTCACAAAGTATTGAATTTGTAGATTTATAAGATAAGCTGAATTTGAGTAGGTTTTCTTAACAGAGCATGTTATTACATTGTATTTAAAGGAAACTGTAAATGATTACAGATTCAGTTGTCATGGGATATAAAAAAGAGGTTATATTTATTATTTCGGTTTTGTCCTTGACACAGATTGGCGGCAAATTCAAATATGGACAGAGCATTTGTTACTGGATTTATATCAGTTGAAGTCGTTAATAAGCTCTCATTAATTACCATCTATTGTATTGTTGAATTTTAATATGTCTCATAATGTAACCATTAATAAGATATAGTATTGTTTGTATTTGAAATCAGTGTATTTTTATTGCTTGGTTCTTTTTTACAGCAATGCTACCGGATTCCTTCAAGAACCGGTTGATCCAATGGCTGGAGGACCACAGGGAGTTCGTGGTGGCAGTCTTCTGTCTGCCAGCGAGCTTTATATTCACCATACTGATGAGAGTCAAAGCATACCTGCGGTGGCTCACCAGCGACCCTCAGAGACATGATAGCGCCGTCAGACTGATTCAGAGTCAGGTACCAAGTAAACTAGCTTCATTGCAAAATTATAGGGGTTTATAATAATAAAATGCTTTTTGTTGGACTTCACGTTCTAAATTACGGACATGTAATTAAGTCCTATGAATTCTGTATTAAAATAAAATTAAAAGTTTAATCTTAGACAAGGATCTGCATTTAACATCCAAAAATCCATTTCAGGTACAACAATGGAACAAGCTGCCTACAAAAGACCGGCGACTGCTCTGCACCTCGCGACCGAACTGGCTGTCACTGTCTACGACCTTCTTCCAGAAACACCTACATCATCGGGTTCCTATACCTCTGTACGATATTCTGGAACTGAACGAGGAAGCTATGACAGTTAGGGTCGAGCCTATGGTCACCATAGGAGATATTACCGAGTTCCTCATTCCTAAAGGGTATTCGCTGGCAGTCACTATTGAGCTTGTGGATGCTACTTTAGGAGGTAGGTTTGAGCGATAATATTCCTAAGTTAGACTAATTTAGAAAATGACATTGCACCTTAAAATGTAACAGAGAAGGTCAGTAATAACATATACGTCAATTCTATTCCAGGTTTGGCCTTCGGTACAGGAATGTCGACTCACTCCCATAAAGCAGGACTCTATCACGAGACCATCACAAGCTACGAAGTGGTCCTAGGTGACGGGTCACTCGTCACCGCCACCGCAGACAACGAGCACGCCGACCTCTACAAGGCCCTTCCTTGGTGCCACGGCAGCCTCGGCTTCCTCGTCGCTTTGACGCTCAAAATCGTCAAAATAAAACCCTACATCAAAATCAAGTACATCCCAGTCAAGGGACAGAAGAAATACTGCGACATGATTCGTGAACTTTCCGGAACTTACGAAGCTAAACCGAAGGTGTTCCCCGATTACATCGAGGGCACGATATACAACAAAGACGAGGCTGTCATCATGGTCGGCGACTATGCCGACTATGACCCAAAAATACCAGTGAACAGCTGTTCCAAGTGGTACAAGCCCTGGTTCTACAAGCACGTGGAAACATTTTTGGAGAAAGGAGAGGCTGAGGAGTTGATACCTTTGAGAGACTACCTGCTGAGACATAACAGGGCTATATTCTGGGTGGTGGAAGACATGTTGTCGTTTGGGAATGACACATTGTTCCGCTATTTGTTTGGATGGCTCCTCCCTCCGAAGCCTGCCTTCCTAAAGTTCACCACAACTCCTGGAGTACGAGCCTACACGTTCACCAAGCAAGTATTCCAGGATATTGTCCTGCCGATCAAAGAGCTTGAAAGACAGATCGAGATAGCGAGCGTGCTGTTCGAGAAGTTTCCTCTACTAGTGTATCCTTGCAAAATTATTGACCACGGTCCATCGTCTGGTCAGCTGAAGAGGCCTGACGCGAAGTATTTGGTTCCCGGAACTAACTACGCGATGTATAATGACTTGGGAGTATATGGGGTGCCGGGGAGGGTTAAGGAAAAGAAGCCTTACAACCCTGTGACCGCCATGAGGAAGATGGAGGAGTTCACGAGGGAAGTGGGAGGTTACTCGTTCCTCTACGCTGACATCTTCATGACTCGCGAAGAGTTCGAAGTAATGTTTGACCTGTCACTGTATGAACAAGTCCGGAAGAAGTACCACGCTAATGGCGCGTTCCCACACTTGTATGACAAGGTCAAGCCCGAGATCAATGTGTTCGAGATTGGAGAGAGCAACGCTATTGGTTAAAAATTTGTCTAAATTAAAATTTATATTAATACCTTACCTTAGTCTTAAATAAATGTATATTACGTTCACAGAATTTGTCTTTTAGGCGTTTATGCAAAGTAAAATAATCCTTATACAACACTATTAAAGTGTACATTACAATACATACCTTTAAATTGGAGATATGTCTGAAGACGAAGGGGTTGTTAATGGCGATCTGTCGCCGGATGCGGTCGTTCATGGCGTTGACGTATGTCTGGTACACGGCCATACACTTCTTGGCCAGACTGGACGCGTAGTAGATGGGGATGTCTTGCAGTTCCGGGTGGAGAGACCAGTACTCGTCTGGAGGGAGACGTGTTTTGTTAACAAATAAATCACTGTTATTTGCTGACTAGACGCCTTATTTATTCACGGTATTACGGTTTATACACGGTATAAGGTAGGCGAAGCCTATTTGCCTATCTGGACGCTACTGCTAGATGGCACCATTGTGGTGTGTCGCGTCTGTTAGTCTAATCAGAGCACCTGTCAAAAATTGAATATCCAATGGGAATTTTTAATGGATGAACAGACGTAAGGTCTAGATTAAATGATCTTGTAAACAAAAAATCGGTAGCCCCTGTTATGAATGATCCTAGTCCGAGATTCTTAGCTTAGAGAACAGAGACAGTAATTTCGTTTTTATTACTACTTTATAATTTACATTATACATATTTTATTCCCTACAAGTTCGGCCTACGTAGGAGGACAAGCTGAATCAAGTGTGGATCCCGGCAGTTATGATTAACAATTAACTTTCACATGTAAAAAACTGGAACCGACTTTCTTTAAATCTCAATCATATCAACACTTTTCCCGAATTATCTGTTTAGAATGGAGACAAGACTATAATAAGAGATATTATTATGTAGTTACCGAGTATGAGCAGCAGTTCCTGAGCTCGGCCGAGCGCGAACACTGGAATGAGGCACCGTCCGCCGCGCTGTACTATCTCACTGACGAGGCCCGTGAACCTGCTCTCACGCTCCTCGCGCTTCTCGTGGATGTGGGTGCCGTATGTCGACTCCTGCGGAACATATTAAGTATTATATATATGTACAGGACTGCCTCGTTGGCCGAGTGGTCGTAAGGGAAAAATATTACAGCGATTTTAAAAATTCTAAGTAGTAGGACGGAGTCTGGAATTGTGCCCGATATATGGCAATAGGTGAGGCTATTACATGCGAGGGACTCATAACATAAATAGTGAAAAGTGGGTGTTACATTGTATAATGGCATAATGTGCACCTCTGCCTACCTCTTCGGGGATAAAAGGCGTGATGTTATATTATGTTATATTTATTATCTATTTTTGGTCAAATTACATTAGAATTTTCACCTGTTCCTCCGCTGGAACGATAGTTCATAAATCGATCTAAGCACTTACTAAATAAAGATGCAAATAAGTTTCAATGTGTTAAGACCGTACCGTAATTAGAACATCAGGATGCACTGTTGGTATCTCCGCCGCCATTAAATGTCTGTCCTCTTGTCTTGAAAAATCTCCCGTGTATAGAATCTGGAAGAAAATTGAATATTACACACATATCCTGAGTCTTGATTACAATTTTTAACTCAGATAAAGTACAGATACATTTTTAATGCTTTTGATTGATTAAGAGAAAAATATGAGAGTATTTTAAACCACAATACTTTGATTGCTGACTGAAAATAGTTGAATTGGAAATTACTTCACTATTTTGTTCAAAAATGACCACGTCAGCAGGAAACATGTTAACTTTATTGGAGACATACATAATTTTTTAAATTCCTACTATATTGTATAGCAGAGATGGCAAATCATTGGTATGTGTGCCATTAATGGCACCGAACATAATATTTTGGGCACCGGCAACACATTTGTGAATTATCTAGTATTTCAGGAGTAAACTCTATTGCTACTGGTAATAAGTATTATGAAAAGTAGAAATAATTTGATGGCACATTTACGACCTCAATACATATTTATTTAAAGTAATCGACGCGTCATTGTGCAATGGTTCGCCATCCCTATTGAATAGTATAGTGTACCTTAACACCTGCAATCTCGATCATGAACATGGCGGCCCCCAACACGTGGCCTGCGTTGTATGCCCAGAACCTGACTCCTCGCACATCCTTCTCCTCATGGAAGTTGATGGTTTCAATGCGGTCCATGGAACCTTCTAAATCTGACTCTGTGTACAGCATCTGTTCTGTTGATATATTACTGGGGAACAAAAAAAAGGTTTATTATCTATACAGTGGCTTAATTAAAAGTGGGTATCAGACCTCCTTAGGCTTAGCTATGTTTTTATTCTGTCTTAGCATTAAACTATTTAAATGTAACCAATGTAGTTAATATAAACTCTTCATGTCACTTACCTAACTTTAATATAATCGGATACAAGCCACCTGTAGATGGCTTTCGTAGCATGTGTCATAAACACTCGGCCCTTGAATGATGTCTTCGTTAGGAACCACGGTAGAGCTCCGCTGTGGTCCAAGTGGAAACTACAAACAAACAATAGAATATCAAGTTTTCGAGCTTTTATTAAATAATAACTATGTCATTACATTACATATCTTATGTATAAAGGAATATAATAATAACTATTTCTAAACTTACTGAGAAATCAGTAGGAGATCCACTTCATCAGCCTCAATGAGGTCCACAAAAGGTAGAGCATCCATCCCTGACAAGCCCGGGTGAATGCCACAGTCCAGCTAAAACATTAAATGCAAAAGTATTAATGATATGATACCTAATAACACCAATTTTTAAATAGAATTTAGAACAGTATGATTATAAACGCTACACATAGGGCCGAAATTAATTTTATTAATCTAATTTACAATCTCAGCAGAATTATTGTCAAAAATGAACCCTAACACAACAGCTTATGGGTTGAGATTCGTTATCAATTCAGGGTTTTAGAAAATAAGTTTTATTTCACATGAGTAGGTAAAAGTACAAACCATAATTTTCTTCCCTTTGAACTCCAACATGATGCAGGACCTGCCAACTTCCTGACCAGCACCCCTGAAATTAATTGTTGATAGTTAAAACTTTGTAGTAAATAAATCCTGTTGGCAAAATAACGTAGAACCAGATGTACTATCTTTCTTTAGCTAACAATGCCGGTTATGTGAATATTAGCAACTATGCAAGAGATAAAGGACTATGTGTCACACTTAATTTATTTATTTATTTATTTATACATTTGGAAAACCAACAGCTATACAATTTGATTAAAAAGAATGTGGTATGCAACAAGAAGCCAATTACTGGTTTCCACGATTAGTAGCAGAAAGTAGAAACATGCTAACACAGTACTAAAATTACTCATTAAACTCATTAAACCACAGGCAGTCTATAATGATGCACAAGTTACTCCAATGATTAAGTACCATATAGGTACCCACTATGAATTAAAGAAATCAAGGTTCAGCTGCCTGCGTGCCACAGTAAGTTTTGTGTTAAATGGGTCGAATGAAAACTCTTTGCACAGTTTATTGAAATCATTGCTCGCTCGCACAATATAAGATTTAATTTAACTTTTTTTAGTTAGGTTCTTGATCCTGTGATAATCGAAAGAGGCCTGTAAATATGACTAAATCGTCTGCATAAGTCATTTTCAGTAACTATACTGGAGATAACAATCTATATTCTTGTTCCACTTATGGGGTGTTGATAGCTAAGGGATGGTATGTATATTTCAGATTACACAGGGTTGCGTAATATATTTTTATGTAAATTAGATTAAGTACCAGAAGAAATATCTTGGAAATAAAATAATAAAATACTTACAAGGGCCTTATAGTCAGCTGGTCACTTTCTTCCATAGGCACCGGGTCGGTGCCCTTTCTGGGGTTTGTAGTCATTGTTAGTACTTTATAGCTTTGCTTCTACACTAACAAACCATTTACACACTGTTATTTTTGAACACCACGCTCAAATGCACTACAAATATAACACAATTTTCTTAACTGATTGTTACACCACAACTAAACGGTGGTTAACGAATATTAGTTTTGGCGACTGGGTATAAGTTAACAATATTGCACACTAGACCTTAGTAAAATATTAAGCTTTTATTAACTTTTTATAACATGAACAAACGGTACAAACAAATAACACCACAAAAGAAGACATTTATGATGAACTGACAGATGGCAACCGGCTGGATAAAAGAACAGGTTATAAAAATATTGCTATAATAAAAAAACAATATAACCAACTTATTGAATTATCAAAACGTGTGTGTAATTAATTGTTTATTTGTACATATTGTACACTAAATAGTGTACATACAAGACACTTAGTGAAAAATAAATGAATTTCCTGTTGAAAATTGGTGATTTCTACTTCTACGAACTAAACGACAAGCGTTGCCTACTTTGACTACGATGACATTGACGTTTTTTACATGACAGATAGATGACAGCAGAACTTTAACAACACGCAGGCGTGTAGTGCAGTTCGTGTTATTTTTGGTTAGAATAAGTCTGAGTCAAAATAAATTATTATTTTGTGAATAAAAATGCCAAAACCAACACTATTTGATGATGATTCTGATGAAGAGGTAGCGCTTAAAACAGAAAATGAGTACGCTAAGAAGTATGACAAGTGGCGGGAGAAGGAAGAACTTCATAAACGTAAGCACGTTAAATTAATTAATTTATTAATATTAATATTTATTATTCTTAGCGGCATAAGCTTATTAGTTCGTAGTTCACAAACATTGACAACAAACTATTCTGAGAAATACACTTAGCACATTAATTTTATACACAAAATAATCTTGAAAACATGCTATCTATTGCCGCTGCTGCCTCAGAAAATTAAAAAAAAATTGTTAGACTACTCAATAACGAACTTATTTTACAGTTGAACAGAAATACGGCTCCAAAGCATTGAACAGTGATGGGTCAGTATCATCAGACAGTGAGGATGAGAGTGACTCCCCTCCGGAGATCACAGAGGAGATGGAAACTCAGTTCCTCAAGACACTTGCACTGCTTAAGACAAAGGATCCAAGGATCTATGATCCCCAGTTTAAGTTCTTTGATGAAAACCAGAAAAAGGAACCGGGTAAGACATTGTATCTCAAAACATTCTTTATTTGATGCTGCACATAATAGCTTACCTACCTGTCAGTAATTATCAACAGTTTCCTAATTACCAGAAACTTAACTCATACACAATGACCTGATATAAATCCCCGAAATTTGTTCATACAAAACTGGTCTTTAAGCATCAAAAATAATGGAGTCAGTGGAGAGAGCTAACCACCGCTAACCGCTTGGGGATTGATCAGTTAAAAATCAATAATATAAACCAAACAAAATAACGAACTCCATCTTAAATTTTATTGTTTTAATATGTTTTGTATATCTTTGTAGAGAAGGAAACCAAGACTAAACAGCTGACTTTTGCTGACAGTGATGATGATGATGATGATGATGATGATGGCAACATCTTCAGTGTTGAGAAGAAGGCTGAGGTTGTAGAGGACAACAAGAAAGAGAGGAAAACATCTGAGACTAAGGTATTTTATTTGACACTATTTAGACCTGCCATCAGTTATTTATTACATAATTTAGTACAGCCATAAGCATCTTCTGACATAACAGATGTTCTTGCTTTAGTGTTTCAGAAGGTATTCAATTATATACTCTCCTATCATCCTCAGAATTGTCCACCCTGACATGGTGTTTCAGAAAACTATCATTTATTTAACAAATCCTACCAATGTTATAAATGCGAAAGTTTGTTATATTTGTTTGTTACTTCTTCACATCAAAACGACTGAAGGGATCGTAATGAAAGGAACAAGCGTAGTTTATAGTCTGGAACAACACTTAGGCTATGTGGGATAAACTCACAGGAACACTGGTGAAGTTGCTGATATACAGTATATTATCCTCCCAGGTTAATCAACAGAAGAACTGATTTCAAAGAACATGAATTTTAACATGTGCCATAAGGATGCTTATATTATCTTACAGAAAACCGACGTGAAGCAACCCTTGTGTTGTGTTTCGTCGTGTGAGTGAAGTTACCCTCCCCTTCCCCAATTTCCCCAATCCCTGAATCCCCAACGATCCTCAAACTCCTTATCCCCAAAAGGCCGGTCACACTTGTAACGCCTCTGGTGTTCCAGGTGTGCATGGGCGACGCCGATTGCTTTCCATCAGGTGATCCGTATGCTCGTTTACCGGCTTATGCCATAAAAAAAATCTCCTGTTCTCAAAATTCTTATAAGTTTTGTGTGTGATGAACAAACATTGTGTTTCATTACACTCTGACACAAAACATAAATTTTTTACTAAGGCTATCTAATCTATGATAGAAAACAAATATCTTCCGGATAATATATAGACTGGAAAATAGTTTTCATGAAACTGCCATTATGTATTATAAAATCATTAGTTAACTAAGAATCACTTTTCTTCCAGGAAGGGAAACTGAAAGAGTATCTAACAGGTCAAGCAGAGCACTTGGATGATGCGGTGGAGAAAGACTTAGCTCCACTGAAAGCTCTCTGGTCCGACCCCAAGCTTAATGAGGGCGAAGCATTTTTGAGAGATTATATTCTAAATAAAAAGTGAGTGCAATAGTGCTAAGCTTCATTATACAATGATCTGTCTTTAAGTAACATTGTCTTGGATCAAGCAAATGACTGGTGCTATCAAGCTTCCTTGGCATACTGCTAAGGAGTGGAATTATTTGCCAGAGTCTTTGTTTCCTGAAGGGTATATAATATATAATCTGGGTGTCTTCAAAGCCCGAGTGAATAGGTTGCTTATGGGATGACATGCTCTGCATTGTAGACCGCATCATCGCTTACTACCAGTCGAGATAGTGGGCAAACGAGATAGTGATTAGAGATCGTAATTTATCAAAGAGTGCTGCTGTCTGCAGAGGGCTGCTCTGTTTTTTTCATTTTCATTTCATTTATTCAATAAACAATTTACATTGTATCTGAATGTCTTCATACATTATCATAAATCGTAATCATAAATTACATTGCAATATAATCCATACAGCATGGATCAGTCATATTACTCATAAAACAAAAAATAAAATCAACAGAACAATTTAAATAATAATAAAACGCGAAATAATCAAATATAACATGACAAAAATCCAATTTAAAAAGAAATTACATAATTGGGTACTTTTCACGATAAGAATAGATCAATTATAAATTTTT